ACAGACTAATTGTGTTTATAAGCTTTGGAATATTGACTATGAAGAATTCAGGTGCTGACTGCATATCAACATAGGAGCCTACTCATTACAAATAAATGTTGTTATAGATACAAAGAATTAAAAATGCAATTATGCATGACACTTGCTTATCACGAGGTACTTTTAAGCCACAATTTTCATCAAATCAAGTCAGTATGGCAGGATTTCAAGATTTTTTGACTTGGCTCTTTATTTCTATGAATCACTATCTGCTGACTCGTAAAATCCTGCATGACTCATGACACAGTTAAAACTTTCATTGCCCAATTAGCATGGCCACCAGGAGTTACTGTAGAAAATTTTCACTGAGAACTCTCCCAATATGATATGCATATTTATGCTGGAAACATAAAATATGGGAGAATTAAGGCTGTCAAGTGCACAGAGAAGCACAAAACACTACATAGTTCCCTTAGGCCTTATTATTAAGGTCAAGTTTGCAAAATAACAGGAGCACACATCTGTCCTATAAGGCCTCTGGTACATGAATGGCATATAGATGAACATTAAACTCCAGGTTTCAAAACTAGAGGACTTTCATAAAAGAAATGCAGAACCTCATAGAAGCTGCTCTGTCTCCACGTAATCAGCCCTCTCTGGGATACGTAAATGTATCTGGGATACATCTTACCTGTTTGCTGTACTTGTTATTGGTTTGACAGCTGTACTCAGAGCAGTGATCTGATCCAATTGAAATGTTGTCTCCTGCTCCCACAAATGTGTTGGCTGGTGGTAGATCTTGTACAGCCTGATGTTTTTTCCCTGCAGTTGGTGACTGGGGGTGAAGCTGGACAGTAGGCAATGGGGAACTAGATTTGTAATGCCTTGCCAGGTCAGGACTGCCAGGCCCACCATTAACAGATCTGTATCGGCCCATGCTTGGGCTGTCAGACAGCTTCTCATTGACACTATCATACCTCTGTCCATTTGGTTTAGAAGCTTCGACAGTGACAATACTGCTGTAGAGTGGCTGCTTAGATTTTTTGTTTTTCTTGTCTTTTTTAGGCTTTTTAGATTTGTCATGCTGCTGGGGTGTAAAAAAGTCTTCATGGTCTTTTTTGCCGGCTTCGTAGCCATTTTTATTTTTGGACCTGCAGTATCTTGCCATCATGACAATTAAAATGATTAGAATCACTGTCATAATGCCAGCAACCACCCCAATGACAATACTGAGTCTCTGTTTGCTAATTTCATAGCTTGGGTCACCAGCTATATCCTGGGTGAGTGGGGTATGCAAACTTCTGACTATCTGAGAGTCAATCACAGTTGCATTGGAAACACTTTCATTGACAAATACATGCACCAAAGTTGTAGTGGACTGGGAAGGCTGGCCGCTGTCATTCACTTGCACAACCAGCCTATGCAAGCCGTAATGCTTTTGGGTGAGTTTTCCTACTAAGGAAACCACACCACTGGTGGGATCAATCTCAAACAGCTTGAAAGGATTCCCTCCCACAATGCTGTAGTTCAAGTCCGCATTGATACCATCATCACTGTCTGTTGCCAACACTGTAGCTACTACTGTCCTGACATTACTTGAAGGTGGCAGCAACGTGTAGGAAATGTTTCTGGGGAGGGTAACTGTGGGAGCATTGTCATTTTCATCCATCACAAACAGGGAGACTGTGGCTGTGGCTGATCTAGGAGGATCTCCACCATCCACAGCCTTCACCCTGAAAGTGTATGTAGTCTGATGTTCCCTGTCAAAAGACATTGTGGAGTAAATGGTCCCTGTGTCATTTTCAATAGAAAAAATGTTACTGTTCTCCTCTATGTACAGGCTCATTTCTGCATTCCGTCCCTTGTCAGCATCCATCACGGTGACCATTCCCACAGGGCTGTTGGGTTGTAAGTTTTCCTTCACATAAAAGGTAAAGACGTCCTGCATAAACTTAGGGTCATTGTCATTTTTATCAGCCACCTGTACAATCACCGTGGTGCTGCCCTGCAGCACAGGAATGCCTTTGTCTTTGGCATTAACTTTAAACTCATACCTGTCAGTCTGCTCCCGGTCCAGTACTGTATTGACCAGGATGTCCCCAGAATCGGGATCAATGGCAAAAGTCCCCATCACTGAGGAGTCCAGAGAGTAGGCAATCTCTGCGTTCTTCCCACTGTCAGCATCTGTCGCCAGCACTGTGGCTACCCTCTCACCAGGAATGTTGTTCTCTGGGAAGTAAACCTCAACCACAGACTGACCAAAAACAGGAGGGTTGTCGTTCGTGTCTCCCACCTTGACCACCAAGGAATTGTTGCTGGAGAGGCTAGGACTGCCAGAGTCCACAGCTACTATGACCACGTTGAACTCCCGGGTGGTCTCATAGTCCAGTGGGGCCGACGTGTGCAGGAAGTACTTTTTCTTGTTCTGGTCGCCCTCTGTGTCGCTGGCTGGCTTAAGCTGGAAAGGCACATCACCCACTACTGTACAGGTGACTACCCCGTTCTCGCCTTGGTCTCGGTCGGACACCTGCACCAGGGCTATGGGGGTGTCCACCAGGACGTCCTCAGCCACATTGGCCACCCCGTCCTTAAGTGGAATGCGCCCTATCTTGCGGATTTCGATGGAGGGAACGTTGTCGTTCTCGTCTTTGATGTTGAGGACCACGGTGGCCTTATCGGTCTTGGGGGGCTGCCCGCGGTCACGGGCCATGACAGTGAACCGCAGCTGATTCACTTCCTCGCGGTCAATTCTGTGCAAGACACTGAGCCAGCCCGAAGTTTCATCCAGACGCAGTAGCCTTCTTACCGACTCCGTAGCAGCCCCAAATACATACTCTATCTGTCCGTTGACCCCCACGTCCAAATCGGCGGCGCGCAACTGCAGGATGGGGGTGCCCGGAGCGCTGTTTTCAGCCAGGTCAGCCTCATACACGCTCTTCTCGAAGCGGGGGCTGTTGTCATTCACGTCGGTGATGAGCACCCTCAAGATGGCCTGCGAGGACCGAGGTGGATCGCCCCCATCACGCACTCGGAGGGTCAGCTCGTAGGAGTCCCGCTGCTCCCGGTCCAGCGCCCCCTTCACTATCAGTTGCGGTTGTTTCCCCCCGTCTGGGGGGTCTGCCACCTGCAGCTCAAACACACTGCTGCGGCCACCAGGACCGGTCCCGCCGCCGCCCTCAGGCGACTCCAGCCGCCGCTTGGAGCCTCCAGAGCCGCCGCTGCCGCTCGCGCTGTTCCCGCCGCCCCCTGGGTAGGGGGCGCTGTCCGCCGGCCCCGAACGCCTTCCTTCGCCGCCGCCACCGCCACCGCCACCCCCGGGCTCCTGGAGCAGCTCGTAGCGCTCGATTCCATTGCGACCGAAGTCACGATCGGTGGCCGTGGGCAGCAGGTAGAGTGTTCCTACGGGCCTGTTCTCCTCCACCGTGAGTGTGAGCACCGGTGACGGGAAGGTGGGCGTGTTGTCGTTGATGTCTAGCACGATGACCCGACCCTCAAACAGGTCCACCCAGCTCTGCGAGGGCCCTATCACTGACACCTCGAAGTCCAAGAAACACTCATTCTCGTCGAAGATCATCTGACACTGGGGCAGCTTCTCCCGGTCGATGCGCCGCTCGCTGGTGCTCAGCTCGCCGGTGAGGTTGTCAATCTTCAGGTACTCAGAGCCAGACTCAAGGCTGAAAGTCACCTCGCCCGAGCCGGTCACGATGCCCAGGTCCGAGGCCACATTACCTATGCGGCCCCCTGCCCCTTTAGCCAGTACTGGAGCAGCTGCTTGGCGGCGGCCAGGCTGAGGCAGAGCGGCAGGAGGAGGCAACAGCCCAAGCACCAGCCGCGCGCCCATCCCGTGGTCCGCATCCTCAGCATCTTCTCTTGCTGCTGCTGCTACTGCTCCTTCTAACCACAACCCCCCTCGGCACCCCCCTCCTCCGGGGCTGGCCGCCTGCCCTCCCCTCGGTCCTCCTCTCCGGGAAAGGAAGAAACCAGAGGGAGGGGAGGGAGGGGGCCAGAGTAGCGTGTAGAGTCGGCCGATGGGAGGGGGGCAGCTATAGATGCTTCTTTTTTTCTCCTCCTGCTTCTTCCGAAAGTTATTGTTTCATAATTCATGCAATGGGTGCTAATCGCCCGCTCGCCAGCCACCGTTCACTCGCAGTACTTACAGTTCACGGGACACTGCGCGCCACGGGCTCCGTGCCCCCACAAAGTCATCCCCGCAGCGGGAAGATCCTGAGATCCAGTCCCCACACTCTGGGAAAGGGCCGGAACCGCTTCAGCAAGCTGGCGGTGTAGCCTGGAAGCCGAGTGGAGCAAACCTGCAGCCTTCCCCGCCTGTCAGCCGGGCTAGTCCTCACTGCTACTCGAGTTAAGTCCAATTCACGTTCCAGCCACTCACTCTAGACACAGTCTCTGTTTAGGCTCCGGAGGTCCAGACAACCGTGAGCCGCTTCTGGCAAGAGGCTCCGGGGGCAGCAACAAGCCAGTCTCAACTCTGACTCCTCTTAAGCAGCCGGGAAGCCACTCAACATATCTTGAATGAAAAATTCCAAGGCAGGTCGCTCCGGGCAAGGTGCAGCGAAGACGCCTCGCGTCACAGCTCGGTCCGCGACCGGGTGTCCCCGGCGCGCCAAAGAGCAGCCCGAGCCATCTTCAGAGACGCCCAGAGTCGGTTGCTCCTCACCCCGGAGAGCTCGGGTTTCTCTTTTTTTCTTAACAACTCTGCGCAAGGTCATTAGTCACGAAGCCGCCGCCTGAAACCGCAGCAACCATTCGCCCGCTGGGGCTAGAGCCGAACCGTGCGCACCGCGCGGTGCCCAAGTTTGGATTCTCAACCGCAGAGTCCGTGCCTTCCCTCACCTGCATTCGGCCCGCGTGTTGGAGCAGTGGGATCTGCAGCGCTGTGCGCGATTCAGGGAGGAGATTGCAGCCTCTCTCTCTCCGCGCTCTCTCGATCCCTCCCCTCCCTCCCTCCTTCTTTCTCTCCTCCCTCCCCTTCTCTCTCCTCCCTCCTCTTCTTTCCCCTTTCCCCCCCTCTCACTCTCTCTCTCTCTCGCACAGTCTCTCAGCTTCTTCCAGTTTCAATTCAGGGAGCCGAACTTGATCCCTTTGCAGTTCAAAGGTGAGCAAGCCTGGCTCCGTGCATCCGCGACATTGGTCCGGTGAAAACGCACGACCGGGCACTCCTAACGGCAATTAACAATGATGCCCAATTCTGTCCGGGTTTCCAAAGAAAAGCCAAAGGCAACTGAGACGGGGGTGGAGGGGGAGGTGGAGTCAAACGGAGCTGCCAAGTAGCTAAAAAAAAAAAAAAAAAAAAAAAAAAAAAAAATCGAGTTTGCCAAAGGGAGAAAAAGTGCCAGTCGGTTGTTGTCTCGGAAGTGCCCTGGCGCGGCGGGTGAATTCCGCAGTTGTCTCGTCCGCTTTCGCGTCTGGGAGAGCCTGGTGCGCGCGCTCCCGCCGCCTCTCCCCCGGTGGCTGTTCCGAGACACTGAATCGCCACAGGAAAGCTCCTACTCTTCTCTACCCGGGAGCCGGAAACCCGCAAGTTTGCATAAAGTGGTGGTGGCTGCGGAAAGCTCGCGGGCTCCGGACTCAGACTTGTTCCCGACGCTGCAGTGGCGGCGGTGGTTTCTGAAACTACACAGTTGCAGAGAACCGGGGAGGAGGGCCCGGGGAAGGGAGGCGGGAGCAAGTGCCAGCCAGCCGAGGCGCTCACAGAAGCCCGGCTTCAGTTCGTAGGGCAGGCAGGGCACTGCCCAATCTCAGCCCCTTTAAGCCAAAACCTAGTCCCCTTAGCCAGTTTGGGGAGGGGGCTCATTGCTTTTCCCCTCTAGGAATGGTAGATTTTTCTCCTTTGACTAAATCCGGCTGCGTGGGTAAGAGCTGTAGTGAGGGTGTTAGTATACCTTCCTTCTACGTCCACCTTCAGACGATGTATTCCTCCCGCCCCAACTCCCACCCCCAACGTGTCTTCGCTTCGCAGTTGAGCATCTGGGTTAGTGCATTGCCACTGGTAGGCTGAGGACAACGTCTGCGTCCCGAAAGCGAGGCTTGTGTTCTGCAAAACCATGACCTACTGCAGTAGTGTTGAGAGAACATCAAACTCCAGTGAGAGCCTGAGAGGATCCTTTTTTGGAACACAGTGTTAGGAGGTCTGGTTTGGGGCGGGGAGAATGCCTGCCTTTGTTTAAATGCTTGGAATTCCTGTCATCCGGCTTTCACTGGGGATAGACCGTGTGTGCACGCGCCTGGGGAATAAAACACATGCTAGAAGCCTGAATATTATTTTTTCTGAGCAGAACCTGCAGCCTTGAGTAACTGGCAAAGTGTAGCGTCACCTATCTGGATATAAGGGAAATAAACTTTAATGGCAACTTTGTGTACCGAGTATGCTTAATGTCTTTTCTCTCCTTTTGACTTTGTGCCTCGTGACAGTCCCTGCCATTCCCTGGCGTGAGGCTTTCCCAGTCCTCAGTCATGACCACCGCAGTCTGCCTAGGCAGATCTCAGGGCTGGTGTTGTTTTTCGAACGGAAGCCACTTACTCCTCATTTATTTCAAAGACTATCAAAGGAAAGTCCCTCTCCCTAAAGATTAAGAAGGACGAGGTTGGTAGGTGATGTGTTGGACGTCGTTACTATATGGAAGATTGTTGCTGGGGTTTGATTAGTCTGGGAATTTAAAGGTCTCCCCGTAAAAACAAATTTAAGCAGACGCCCCCACCCAATGCTCACAACATCAATTTTGTTCTTTGTGAGACCAAAGAGAGGAGGCTGAATGATTTAAACAAGGAAAATGCCAATAAAGTCTAGGAGCACAGGAAGCGCGCGGTTGTTTGGGCGAGCACAGAGCAGGAGTGTGGTGGTGGGAGGGGGGCCGCACTGGTTT